TGCGTCCGCAAACGGCGGTCACGTCGGTCCGCGCTGCCCTCCCTTCATCCATCAATGTTGGCCGCTGCGTGCCTTGGGCCGACATGAATATGACACGGAAAGCGGAGCGTGCATCAAAAGGAAAGCACGGGAGGGGCGGGTGGGGGTTTTGGGTCGGCCACGACGGTCAGAAACGGGCTTGGGAGAGGTCTAGACCCCGCAAAACCCCCCACGTTTGTCTCTATTTTATGGGAAAAATCATGTTTGGACTGACATGCGGACCAATACAGGATTGCGTTGGATGGCTACCACGGTCCGAACAATGCGGTCCGAACATTTGTGGGAGGTCTGCTGGTCTAATGCCCTAAGGACATATAAAGATAATGTCTGTCGAGCATTACCAGGACCAAAGTCTTCACCGAGTGTCGATAACTTTGCAGGGTGTATTTTTTTCAGACACTCAATAAAGCCACCGACCAAAACTTGGTGCGAGAGAAAACACTCAATAAAGCTACACATCCCTAAGAGGTAATACCACTAGAAGTCATAGAAAACTTGTGTTTGATGTTCAGGTTTGTTCTAAAATTTGCAAAATATGAAATTGTGGTCATATAACTTGCCTTCGCTTTCAAATAAGGTGCTTCCTCTCGTACCGGGACGTATGGCCTGCTTACGTGGCCTGCCAGCGTAGGCCCACCTGTAAGTGGCTCAAAGTTTTTTTGAAGATAACTCCCTTGCATTTGATTTAATTGCGTACAAAATCTGCCAATTTATAATAAAATGAAAAAAGATGGTGCTGTTGTGGGTCGAAACTACAATCCGCCGCTAACCGTCTAGCATGGACAACCAACGGAATGAAGTGTTTTGACGTTTAAATTGCACAATTGTACTTTTTTTGAGGGGACACAATTGTACTTTATAAGTGTACTTTGAGAAGTAAGATTGCAGATATGCCGCAAAGCATCCTACAATTTTTTCACGTCCAATTGTTGCTTAGGCTTCTTGATGTCCTCCGTTCCACACTGAATCTCATGTTTTTATGTTTTAAACAAGTGTATATATTTCCATGGCATTTCTATGTCCCTACAAAATTTATTATCTCCATTTAAATAGGGCATAAGCCTAATCACATTGTTCTTTGTTTCTCTTTTGTGAGAGATGCCATGAGCAAAGTTTTTTTTTTTGCAAAGTCTTATTTTATGCTTCAATCCTTAAAGAAGTAATATTTCCAATTTTTTTAAGTAAGTCTTCTCAGCATGGCGTCTCAATCGACAGTCAGCAAGATATGAGATCATGCATGGGACTAATATCACACAACTTTGAATGATTCAACTGCAAGGTAGAAAGTACATTCCAATAATTGGTTGGCCCTGATACATGGTGCATGAAGAAGTACTATAAATGTTTTAAACACTGATGCACTATGCATTTATTACACAACAAACGGGAACATGATAGATGGTCATATATATAGGATTATGGAGCACGAGCAAGTTATATGTAGAGTTCAATGACCGATCGCACCCCTAGGATAGGGCGAATTTTGTAATTCACAAATCCTGCTTCCGTGAATATCTTGTTCCAGTCTTGCTCATATCGTTCTTTGGCCATAAATAATGACATCATTTGCATATCCATCAAGAGCTGGGCTTCGAGTATGTTCTGTGAGCTAGATCCAACCACTTCATCGATGATGATGACCTTCCCTTGTTTTTCTCCGTGGGCAATGGCCTCTCTGCATCGTGTCAGGATCTTCACGCAATCCTCGTCGCTCCAGTTATGCAGCACATACTACCAATCCAACAACAAATAAAGAGCTTCAGTTAGATTAAGGAGTACATTATTTGCTAAATTACTGCTCACAAATACATATAAGAAAACATGTGTGTCTTTGTAGTCATATAGGAATGATAATACCTTAAGTAAAATGCGATCAGCAGGTGGAATGAACTCCATCATGTCCCCAGCAACAAACTCCACATTGTCGGCCTGAGCCGAGACGCCTTGGATCACATGTGGGAGGTCAAGAACTGAGCACTTGACGTGTGGGAAGGCCTTGGTAATGGCCCTCGCCATCGTACCAGTCCCGCCGGCGACATCGACCAGCGAGGTTATCCCCTCGAACACCTCGCCACACTCACGGACCACGAGGTCAGCCAGGTACCGGCTGTCGGCCGCCATGGCCTCGTTGAACACCGAGTTAAACTTGGCGTCGTGGGCAGCGACGCCATAGGGGGGCCGGCCGTTGGCCATCACGAACGGTGTGGCCTCGCCGTCGCTCTGGAACCACTGCCCCAGCTGCAGGGCGGATCCAACAATCTGCGGCGTAGTCGTCATGAGAATGCACGACGACAGCTTCCACGCGCTGCCGCCGTTGATGCCAGCGTCGTTGACGAGCAGACGAGACATTGTGTTTAGGTGGTACACGCAGGTCGCCCCGTCGCTGCCGTTGGCGACAGCCACACCCTCCTCGGCCACAAAGATTCCTTCCGTGGCTAGCACCTTCATGAGGCGTGACAAGTAGGGCTGTTTGCTTGGAGGGAGGGGGAGGGTGGCAAGCAGGTCGGGCAAGGAGGCGCTGCCACCACAACGGTGGAGAGCATCAGCAACTCCAAGCTTGACAGCACTGTGCAATGCCATGGACTTGAGGTAGCCCAGGGAGTGGCGCACGAGGTCGGCCTCAGCTTGCATAAGCTCGGCGCTGCTTGCCATGGCCATTTCGTTAATTGGTTTGTGCCTAAGGGGATCGATGAAAACTTGGATGAGAATTCAATCTCATAAAGGTAGGATTTATAGGCCCGCTGCCAGCAGCCATCTGAACGAATTGCTTCCCTCCCACATATTTTCTAACCCATTGGCTGCATCTATCAGATGTATACAATTTAATTTTAAGAAGTTAGGCTGGTGGCATCGGATGTACTCCAGATAATATTTTCGAGGAAGAAAATATTGTTTTTTTTTTTCAAGAAAGACTCCAGACAATATAACAGTCCATCCATTCACTATGCTCGAGACAATATCATTTTCTGAAACTAAGTCGATCGACGAAAACAGCCGATCTATCAAGCCATTCTTGACATAAAACAAGAGAAGGGCATATGTACATATTCCTTCATTTTAGATACTATACAGGCATATCATTTAGGCCATGAGCTAGTGAGGTCATGGATGCCGTGCGTGAAGAAAGGCAAAGGTGGGTGGATGCGCAGGCTCTCTAGCACGACAGCATCCAGGCTCTCGAGCACTACGGCACTTAGGCAAGGCATGCCGCGGATGCCCTTCTCAGATGCCGTGGTAGGCACGAGGCGTGGAGGTTTCTTTTGGC